TGGAGCCCCCATATAAGTACCTGGCATGTGAAGATTAAAGTAAGATGATGATTCGCTCGAAACTTCAAATTTTGGTGAATTGCAAACAATATTCATTTTTTTAAAACTTTTAAAAAAAAAAATTTTTTGTTTGTAAAAAAAAGCAGAAATAAAAAATGGGTGAATGTGAAATTATTCAGGTTTATATTTAAATAATAAAGATTTTCCGCGAATTGTCCAAAAAAAAACCCGTATAATTATATAATTATATATATATATATATATTTGTTGTTGTAATTAAATAATTAAAATTAAATAAATAAAAATTCTTCTATGATCCGTTTATATTATTTTATTATTTTTACTATAAAGAGTATAACGTCATAGTTTTGTAAACACGATATAAATATTATTTTTTTTTTTTTTTTCGAATTTACAGTTACTGAAAAAATGTTTATGGAAAAAAGGGAGATAAGGGGAGGTGGGAAGGGGGAGTTTTTATAATATTATTTGAGGTCAAAATGAAAAGGAGCTTTAACTTAAAGAAATGAACAGAAAGTTGTGTTTAATTGGTTGTGATTGATTGATTAATTGATTAAGATCGTTCTATTAATCGATTGATTGATTGATATTGATATTGATATTGATATTGATTGAAATTTTGTTTTTTAAAAATATCTAGAGACGTAATAGATAAGTGGATATTATGTAAACGATTAGACAATATATTAGATAATTGGTAATATGTAAAAGTAATTTATGGTAAAGTTTGTTTGTAAAAAAGGTGTGTGTGATTTTTTTTATTATCTTTTATTTTCCAAGGCAGTTTTTTTTTCGATTATTTTTAAAAGCGTTATTTATATAGTTTTTTTTTTATATTAGATTTGAATATAATAAATAAATGTATGTATAATAATAAATAATAGACTGGACTTATAAATATATGTGTGCGCAAGTGTCAAAATGTTTGATAAAATATTTAATTAACGGTAGATTGATTTTGATTTATTTAAATAATTAATTAATTTTTTTAG